TTTTTTTTTTTTTTTTTTTTTTTTTTTTTTTTTTTTTTGCATGAGACTGCATATATTCCCTGGACACTCTTTCCTGGTATTTGCAATTGTGTAGCTTGTTGTGGGTGGTTTAGATTTGAACAGTTGAAAAAATAAACAAGGAGGAATGGATTGTTCTCAGCTACTGTGGAAGCAGAACTAACATGGGCCAAGGAACAGGGTGTGTTTGTGTGGTGGCCACATCCCTAGGATGGCTCCACGTGGCCTTTCTGCAGGCTGCCACACTGCTTACCCACCCTGTCCTGGGATTTGGTTTTCATGGAGGACAGTTACTGATGCTGGGGAGACACGATGGAAAACTGGTTTGAGACAGAAAGGAGGGAAGAGGGGGGGTCAGTCCTCATTAATTTGTACCCTTGAACATAGTGTAATTTCTCAGCTACGTAGAATGTAACTTTGGGAGATACCTTGTTTAGCCTCGAAGGGGTTAAGACATTAGAATGGGCACGGAGTAAGGTTTGGTAGAAGGAGAGGAACTTGAAGGGTGAAATGGGTCAGTAGTGACTACCTAAGGATGGTGATAATGGTCAGAACTGACTAGGATGTTGGCTATGGGTGGGTTGGTTGACTGGTAGTGTAAGCATTAGGAAGGTGCTTGCTCCAAGATTTCAGTAATGGTTGATGCCTATTTTGTAAATAAAGCCTAAGTAAAACTCATATACAGAGGCATATACAGATCCTGCATGTCCTCATATCTGCTTAAAATGAGTTGGAAGTAGCTCAAAATTCTGACCATGCGGGCTGGAGAGAATGGCTCAGTGGTTAAGAGCATTGCCTGCTCTTCCAAAGGTCCTGAGTTCAATTCCCAGCAACCACATGGTGGCTCACAACCATCTGTAATAAGGTCTGGTGCCCTCTTCTGGCCTGCAGGCATACACACACATAGACTATTGTATACATAACAAATCAATAAATAAATATTTAAAAAAATTCTGACCATGCTAATCAAAAGACTCCATTTAGTCTAAATAATATCTACATTGAAGAGCTTTTTAATCAAACAAATGGTTCGATATGATTAGCTTACATACACACATATGCATAATGCAACTAAAAACATAAA